CCGATATTGACATTGCCATGCATGTTTGCCACCATCAATTGTACTGGGAGAAGAAAAATGAAAATGATAATGATGGTATTTCCTGGACTCGTTCCGAATATGTGGACTATGTTACAGAGAAAATTGAAAATATTCCAACTGTAACAAATTTTCTTGAAAGTTTTCGGCATGCAGCCACCGGTCCTGCACGACCTGTCCGCCAGGTTACAACTCCCAATGACCAACCGAGAGGGCCGCCGGAGACTGAGCACGACGAGAAAATTATAACGCTCTCAGAGATGAAATCTCTCAGAGATTCAAAAGGCATCTTGAAAAAGCGAAGAACCAGGAGGAAACCTCCGCATCAGAGAGCGAAGTTCCCAAGAGAAAAATTCAGTCTAAGCCAATACCGAAAAAGCAGAAAAGCACCGCAGGTTCGGTCGGCTCTGCTGAAGCATCCGGTTCCGCTGCTGCGGACTCTGAGATAGACCTCCAAGCCAGAGAATCTCCCTGGGGAGGCAGACGTTCGGTAATTCGATCTGCAGCACGACGAGAAACGTCGACGCAGGCAAAGCAATTGTTTAAAGACGCGGATGCAGCGCAAAAAAATTATTCGAAATTTAAAAAGGAAACAGAACAAATTGCATGGTTTCAGCGTCCTGCTGGCCCACAATGTTGTACTAATTTTGCTCAATGTGAAGTTCGGAGGCAATGTTCTGGTGCCACCCTTGTGGCTTAGCCTTCTGCCTAGAATGCCGCACTTGCGGCTTGGCATGTGGCCATAATATTGTTAATTACTCTTCTGAGCTTTCCAATGAATTTTTGCCTGATAGCATCGGCTCCAGCAATTCACCTTTCGATATCGGAGCTCTTGTTGATGCCGTCTTAGCTGAGTCCTCTTATTTTGGAGCTACTCGCTCAGAACATGCACAGACCAGGCAGGAAAATTATCATGACCTCATCCAGCATTTGCGGGAAGGCCGATCTCTTGGAAATACATATCTGCAGATTTATGCCCGGCACGGTGTAGAAGATTTCGATTACACCGGGTTCGTATACCGCATGGACGGTGAGATGTAGATGCCCAAGACGGGACGCCGCTGCCCATCTGGCGCCCGATGGTTTATTCTACATATCCTGATGGTCCGGAACTTAGTGACGCCGAAATTCTCCGTTTACTGGAACTTTTCAGGTCATGTCTCCTCGGTAAAAGAGCAGCCCAAGGCATTGTCGAGCGCACCAAGAAGAACATCCATGAATTTCAGCGAGACACCTACCAGCTTGGCATTTTAACCTTGAATCTTGGTCACATCAACCGTGTTCCGTATATCGGAGGTAGTTCCAAGTTTCCAAAATGGGTTCGGACCGACATCAATTATAGAGTTCTTCCACATTTGGTATTCCGCAATGCGGCTCATATTGTTTGTTTATGTGAGGCTTCCGACGAATATGGAGGAATCGCAGCTCACCGTGAAATTGCAAAGGAATATGGAATGATCGGCATGGTCGTTCACCCTGGCATTAGCTCTCAATCTGTGGCCATTTTTATTCGCGGTGACCATGACGTCGGAACATTCATCGAGCTCCTCGGACACCATCAGTACCAGACTGCAAATAAGTCAGCTCCTTTCTGGATCCTCCACGGTGCGATTTTTCGACTTGGACATGGTGAAAATACTTCCGGTGAATTTGTGAATCCGTCTACCGGAGTAAGAATTCCGAGGCCTGATGTTGAGAAAAATATTCACACTGCCGTAAAGGATCACTGTCGACCATTGGCCACCACCTTAGATTTTCAAGACCACTCCATCTGCGAGATTGACGGTGACCCCAATGAGACGTGCCTTAGCGCTGATGTATGTGATGTTGATCCTGGCTCAGACACGCATGACGTGCGACGCCTTCTCCTGGCTGAAGTCCGCGTTGCGGTGTTTCACATTTCATCGTATGCTTGGTCCTACGCCTATCAGGAGACTTGCCAGAAATGGCTCAATTTTGTTGCCAGTTGTGTAGAGCACCAATGTGATTTTCTTTCAGGTGATGGCAACCTTTTTGCTCAACGTAGTTTCAAATCCGATGACCATTCCGACTTTCGGACCTGCATCATGATTGACATTCTTGAACGTTTTCTTCAGCAGATCAATATCCATCGCAGTCCGATCAACCGCATTACGTATAACGTAGTTTCTTCGACCACTGCTGCCGAGTATATCCGAAGTATGGAAGGCAATGATGGTGATTGTGATTCAATGCTTTTAATTTCTCTTTGTTACGGAAAACAAACAGCTGTGACCAAAGCACGTGCCAAAGAAGATTCCGCCTCTGCGGATGGCTTCGCAGGATCAGCTTTCTCCGATGAAGTTTTGCTTAATGATGTTGAGCAGTCAAAACATTTGTTGCCGTACGATATGGGCCTCGCAGAGAAAGACTGTGCATGGCACTCACCATTACTAACTTTTGCACAGCTCAAGGCACTCAAGAATATGAGGATCCGAACACAACAGTCTGAGGACAGAAGACGTGATCGTTGGGTGCAGAAAAATGAGAGGTACTATCAGAACCGCGAAGACTCACGAGCTGAGCGTCGCGAGAAAAAGGATAGCGTTCCGCCTTTGCGGAGAGACTCCTATCGTAACGTCGGCGACACTAGGTCACGTTCCGCAAGCCGGACAAGACTTAGAGACCAATCCACTGCAAGGGTGCCACAACCACCACCTGCACCTACCAGAGCACCGGTAACTCCTCCAAAAGAACCTTCAACACCATCTAAACCAGTTCGCTACAAGGCTGCACCAGCATCCATTGAGGTAGTGCCAGTTTCATCCTCAAATGTAACACCACCTGTAAAAGCACCGCCAGTTGCTCCGCCTGCACCGCCTGCTCGGTCAAGCCAAGCTGCCAGATCCGCCAGATCTCCTAGCAATGACCCTGTCATTAATCCGTCTAGGACAGTTGGCTCCAGAAGACCGCCATGGCGTGAGAGGTCGCAGACTCCAGATCCAAGATCAACAGCACGTAAGCGACCACATGGCATTCCAGAACCACCGGCTCCGCCGCCTCGCATGACGGGTACGCAATGGCTTAGCCAAGGCCAGCAAGGTAGTTCCTCAAGCTCCTCAGGATACAGAGGAGACTACAGAGGAGATTACAGAGGGGATTACCGCGATTACGGTTACTCATACAATCAACCATCATACTACAGAACGAATCCTCGCACCAGCAATGTGGAGTATGTTCCTGGATTCAAAAATACGATGGTTCCTGGTTGGATTTAATTCCACAAACTCCAGACCAATCGATCTTTTTCCATCAATCTGGTCAAACCAGAAGAAACAATGAACTAAATTTCTACGGATACACTTTCTCGATGGGACTGTGAGTCCTTGCCTATGCATATGTGCCGTATTTACGGCCTGCCTGCCTGTAGCTACAAGTAGCTGTCTGTACAGTTTTGATTTTGTCTTCGGACACGTTTCACAGCAGATCACAAGCTGAGCGCTTCTTGTGAACCACAGTAGCATGTTGCGACACGAAGAAAATTTGTGCCTGTTTGTTACTTATTTTGTTTTACGTGTCTACACAATGCTTCATGCATGTTGACATGTACACATAATTCATTCCTTCTCATGCGCACTCCGCATGGCTCAAGATTAGCAGCAAACCGCGTGTAAAAAGAAGTGCTGTCGCTCTCGCTGACTACAGGTGTTTAGATCAGTTTCCAGGGCTCCCTTAATACGGGGAAAGCTACCTCACCCCACCCCACCCCACCCCACCCATCTCTAACGTAGCATCATGTAGGTGTGCAAGTGCCAAGGGCTGTTAAGAGGCCCAATAAACCCCACCCCACCCCATCTCTAACATAGCATCATGTAGGTGTGCAAAGGCCAAGGAACATTATTAGCCCACACCCACCCCACCCCACCCAACCCCACCCCATCTCTTCTCTAACATAGCATCATGTTGGTGTGCAAGTGCCAAGGAACGTTATTAGCCCCAACCCACCCCACCCCACCGGACCATGACCGAATCATACCTTGCACAACATCGAAGTATACGACAGCAAAAAATAACAACCCTTCTGGGGCGGCGAGTCAGCCAATAGCCTACAACTACAACTGCAACTACAACTACATTATACTACGCTACGCTAATTACAGTACACTACACTACACTACTACTACTACTACGACGACGACGACGACTACTACTACTACGACGACGACTACCACTACTACTACTCCTACTACCTACTACCTACTACCTACTACCTACTACCTACTACCTACTACCTACTACTTACTACTTACTACTACTACTACTGCTACTACTACTGCTACTACTACTACTACTACTACTACTACTACGCAACGCTACATTACATTAATTACACTACACTGCAACTACAACTACACGACGCCGCATTACAACTACAACTACGCTACTTCACACACACACACTAGACTAGACTACACTGCACTATGCTACGCTACGTTACACTACACGACACAACACTACACTGCACTACATTACACTACGCTACTTTACAACTACAACTGCAACTACACTGATGACACTACACTACAACTACAACTCCACTACACTACAACTACAACTGCGCTACACCACACTACATCCAGCAGTTGTGGGTGAGGTGACCACTGCAACCATTGCAACCACTCCCAAAAAACACAACTCCAACCACGTTTCGGTCCATCAGTGGATTCGCTCTGCCATCCGTGATTCACAACAACTCACCTCTCCTATAGGTTTCCTATTTTTGAAACGTCCGCCACCGCCTTGTGTGGCACTACTGCTATGACGTAGCGTCAATAGATCGTTTAGGGAAGCTGGCAGTTGGAAACGGCAAGCAGCAGGCAGATAAACTGTGGAGAGTACTGCTTTCTTGGTAAGACTGTAGTTAATTAATCAAAACTTGGTGTTGCGAAAAACAGTTGCTTTAGTCCTCAAACTTGCGAAGATCTGCGTTGTTACTGCTGGTCACATGTGAAGAATTGCGACAGGTTCTTCAATTCCTTGGCTGCTACACCATGGGTCAGCCCACCAGCTATTTTACACTCGGGAGACTTGGTCCTCTTGCTGCTAATGAACCCCAGAGCTGTTTTGGACCACAGAGTGGTTTCAATTCCTTGCGGGTTTGAATTTTCATCCCTTCACGCCAAGTCCCAGGAATATATTTGATGTTTTCCGCTCTGTGGCTCAGCAGATGCTTTTTTGGCATCCAGGGAAACTCAGCCGCGATCAGAGCAAATTGTAGGATCATCCAATTTGCCAATGTTGCCTGCACCATCTCAGTTTTGCAGTTGATGCCCATGCCTTTAAAGGAGAAAAATAGTGAACGTGGAAGCTTGGCCTGGCATTGGTGCACAGCCTTCATGCCTTAGACTCTTTGGTGCGTTGGTACATCCCTTGGACCAAGGTTGTCATCTTCTGTTTATGGCTCCGATTGCTCGAAGTCTTTAGCACTGCTGAGAAGAGCCTTGGCTGCCTTGGCTCACCTGTGCTTTAGGTCCGGTATCCAAACATGTCAAGCTGAGGGTGGCGAGGGCAATCCTTCCAATCCGAGATTTAGCGAAAGGTTGGATCTGCTGATCTGCTGTTGTTTGGGATTTGCTGTGGACTCGTGGGCCTGCCTTTGCTGCCTCTGCTGCCTCTCCTGCCTTGTGCCCACACCTCCCACACCCTCGTTAGGTTTAGCTCCAGCTCTGGTGGTCTTTTCTGTGGGCTGAAGCCTTAGAGCCGGAATCGGTCATGGAGGATGACTTTCATCATATCATTTTCATTACGAGTGCATTACTGCCTGTCACCTGATCTGTCATGATTTGTCTAGGATACTTTGCCTTTGCGCATGCGCTTTTTGCTCCTCAGCTGCACCAGAAGAGACTGCTGCATATGCTAGTCACCTGCAGAGAGGTCCTGCCACATCCGCCGAGGCGATCAGAGATTCCAATCAGCCGGTGTGGGGACAGGTTCCGTTCTGACACCGGGCGCATTGCTTCGCCGAAAGCTTGCACAGCTGAAAAGTCACATGTGCCAATGGTCCAAAGTTGCATTGTCCACATTGGAGGATGGTCATCAATCAATTCATAGGGATATTATATACATTTATATACCCATAACCTGGCTAGTAACTTATCATAATGGATTCTTTTGGGATGAGCATGAACCATCCATGGATGGCACACAGAGAGGTCTTCCATGACAGCTTCTTGACCCTCATCACAGCTTCCATTCCGGAAGATTCGTCGCTCGGTTGCATCCCAGTTCAGCAGATTTTGGGTGCGTCAAATGATCGTCAAAGGACCCATGTGTCGATGGATGAGCTGTGTCTCTGCTACCTGGCCGTTCTCATGTTTTCGATCCTTGGCAATTCTGGAGCTGTTGAAGCAATCGTTCTGGTCTTGCAGATGATGGCATGGTCGCAGTATTCAAGTTGTGGAGATGCGCTTTTACCCAAGAGGCTAATTGGTAGAAACCCTTTGTTGAAGCCACCAAAGCCACCCAATCTTTTGACAGTTGATTTGCGGACAATATGCGCAGAAAAAGCAAATGTCGAATATCAGCATTCTCCAGAATCTAGGGCACCTATGGAAAGGCAGTCGTGATATGTCGCGATCAGGATTTTTTTCTTGAACATTTTCATTGGCGTCATTGGGGAACTATACGAGAGTGAAAAGGGACGATCTGTGCAGCACTTAGCGGGCACCCCTGACACACATTTAGAGGTTAAATCATGTCAAAACCATCACCAGTGGAACCTGAAAGCACGAGCCAAGGGGTTGACCTTTCAAGAGCTTCGGGCACAGCCAGCAGCTCAGAAATCTAGTCACGACAGTCACGCATTAACAAAGGCCACGAAGAAATGTTGTGATCCCCAAGGGTTATCGATGTCCCAAGGTCTGTATTGAGCTTTCAGCTGCGAGCGCAGATACTGCCCTCTGTTGCCTGGCAGTTCACCGGCGATTTTTCTGCCGCGCTCGATTGAGTTGGCGAAGTCAGAGCTGTCTCAAAATTCACAACTGCAGGCTCTTTGCAATGCTACTCTTGCCCAAGCCCACAACCCAGCACTAAACTCACAGCCTGGAACCTGTCAAAGAGAGTGGAGGAACACTTACTCAACTCCACCATACATCACTGGTTTATCACCTATTTAGTCCATTTTCTGGCCATTGCTGACTCGGCATTTGGCCGCTGCCGAGGTGATGGCTTCGATCATTTTTTGCATCATTGTGGGGATTCAGTTGCTGCTTGTCGCTTTAGCTGTGGCAGTGGCTCCATATGGGTCGTTCGATATGTCTAGATCTTGAATTGTTGCCTGGGTTTTAATACTATCATGCTAGAGAAGCAGCCGTTTTTTTTTTATCCTTTCTGCTCAGGGTTGTATACTATTATTTGTCGATTTTGAACTGGGATAAGCAGGATGGAGTGGATGATTCCTGTGAGGGAATCCTGTGAGTTGGATGGCCACTGCTGCAGTGTACGAGCATGAGCTTTGTCCTTTTGCACTTAGGTTTTGTGTAGTAACGCGGTGGCGGCTCCCACACTGTGAAATGAACCTCGGTAAAGTCAGTCTGGAATACGAGGATCTTGGGGTGTTCGATCCTGTTTTGCTCTTTTTGAAATCATTGATTGAAACCTCCGTGTATACCAAATTGTGCCTCTAGCACTTGGCTAAACTCTGGGAGAGGGCGAGAGAGAGAGAGAGAGAGAGAGAGAGAAAACTGGTGGATGCATTTGTACAATTGTATGCAAGTGTACTGAGTGTACTAGCTGGTATCCTTACTGAGCCTGGTGGATTCGGCCAAGGATCTTCACCTTCTTGCAACTTGCGATGATCGTTTGCGTTTTTCAGCTGCTTGGCCAAAACGCGCTCAACAACCGCCCGGTTTGGTCCTGCACCTTTCTTCACGCTTTCAGGCGTCCTGACGAAGATTGGCGATCCCGCGACAAGGGTCGGGGGACCAAGGAAGAGACTGAAACAACAGGGTAAAGTAATGATGAGTAATGAGATCCGTTGGGAAAAGTTATAATTAGAAAACATAACAAACAGAACAGTACAATTTCCACCCCAAAATGAGTTGGCTTTTGTATTTTAGCAGCGCACCCTTTGGCTGAAGTGGCGAGCAATAAATCCAACTCCTAAGGCAAACCTGACATGTAACTCCATGAGCCAGCAGTAGCCGAGTGACACGTTTCTGGAGTCTTCAAACATCGGATCTTGAGAAGAAGGGGCAGAGATTTTCGAGAACCAGGACGACAACTTGACCCCACTTATACAAGTCCTTTGGAATTGAGATTCCAGCTAGTTGTCTCACGTTTAGCCCTACAGTCCATTCGTCCTTTTTGGGTTCGCTTGTTCCTGAATAGATTCTTGAGATGGGGAGAGTAGATAGTCGCTCAAGACAATGAGGCAGGTGAGATTTCCAAGCGGACACCTGTCACCAATTTCGAACGCACAACTTTCATTGGCAATTTGTGCGCTCTAGCCACATGCTTGAAATGAAAGAGTTGGACAGATCTTGAGACATGACCCGAACAAACAGTCGGGAGAACTCTACTGATTTTCCCTTGCTGATTGTCAAGGCAAATTGTAAGCAAACTGCACCCATGGAAGGCCCATCACATGATGAAGTAATGATGTGGAAGTGGAAAATGAACGACGTGTAGCAAAGTTAAGTTACAAAAAGACACTCAGGAGCCCTGAAAGATCCACATGCTTGTGCTATCCACTGCATTCTTATGCTATCTTGGGGCACTGCAGCCATTGATGACGGAAAGCATTGGAACAGTGCAGGGGGTTGTTGAAGCGAAGCTGTGGCCGGGGGGATGGAGGGGGTAAACAGCATGTGCAAATGGAAAAAGATTTGCATGAGAAGGAGGGCCTTTTTGTGGGGCCCGAGAATGTGTTCATTGGGCCCTCTGGCCGGAGGGTTTCGTGCGCCAATAGCCTAAGAATTGAACGAAATTTCGTTACAGATGGCCCTACAGCAGAGGAGTGTTATTGTTTAAATGCAGCACGTTGCTAAGGGCGCGTTTTCGGGCCCCACAAAAAAAGGGGTCAGCGAGCTCGGGCCCCACAGAAATAATAGAGATAGCACAGAGAATAGTAGGCTGATCTATCATCTATCTAATTTGTGCATCTAATCTACGTACTGTATATAATATGTTTGATAATTCAATAATCTAAAGGTCTAGTAATGATAATCCAATACTCTAATGATCCGATAATCTCTAGTCTAGCCTAATTACCTACTTACTGTACCTAATCTAATCTAATCAACCTGAAGGGCATATATTTTGGTCTAGTCCAGTCTAGCCTAACTGGCCTAATCTAATCTAACCTAATCGAATCTACACCTACTCTAATCTAATCCACTCCAAGGGCAAGTGCAAGTAATCCAATCTAGTTAATAAGAGCAACAACTTGAAAGAGAATCGAAAGTCTAGCCCAATCTAATCTATCTTGATGCAATCTGCTCGAAGGGCAAATGGGAACACCTGAAGGAACGAGTCACTTTCGTTTCCAAAATGTTGGGCGCGTGCAGGTAAGTCTAATCTAGTCTAGTCTAATCTAATCTGTCCTAATGCAATCTGCTTGAAGGGCAAATGGGAAAACCTGAAAGAACCAATCACATTCGCTTCCAAAAGGTTGGGTTGAGTACAGTTCTGTCAGTAGAGATGAGCCAAATCTTATCTAAGAGGTGCAGATGGGGACCTATTCTAATCCAATCTACTTGCAAGGGCAAGTAATCTTATCTATTAAGGGCAAATACTTGAAAGGCAAGCGAATTTAGTCTAATCTAGTCTAGCCTAATCCAACCTGTCCTGATGCAATCTGCTTGAAGGGCAAGTGGGAAAACTTGAAAGAACCAGTCACTTTCGTTTCCAAAAGGTTGGGTTGCGTGCAGTAGTCTTAGTAAAGACGAGCCAAATCTTATATAAGAAGGGCAAATTGGGAATAGCAAAGCTTAGTCTCTAGTCTAGTCTAATCTAAACTAATCTAGTCTAATCTAATCTAAACTAAATCTCATCGAGTCTGCTCGAAGGGCACATTTTTTTAAATTTAGTTCAATAAGAGCAACTGGGGCTAATCTAGTCTAGCCTATTGTAATCTAACCTGATCGAATCTAATCTAAATCATTCTAAATCCAATCTAGTCTACTGGAAGGGCAAATAATCTGATCTGATCCAATAAGGGCAAAGGGAGAATGGGAAAACTTAAACTGAGATTTCATCAGGTTGCGCAAGCCCTCATACAGCGCCCGGCGAGAGGCATTAGTGGCAATTTGCTATGAAGATAAACAGCGCGTGGAAATGGAAATTAGATGACGGAAGGCGCTGGAACAGCGCAGGGGGAGTTGACGTAGCTTTGCCCTAGGGGGGGTGGGGGGCACGGAGCGTGTGCAAACCCAATTTTTGACTTGCAGAAAATTTTGGGTCATGTTTGGCTGCTTCGGCCTCATTTTGGCCCATGTTGGGCGCTTTTGGGTCAGCATTGCAGATTGTGTGGGGCTCATGTTAGGGAGTAATTTCCGGCCCTCGGGTCGAATCAGCGTCAGCAGACTCAACATCCAAGCGTTTGGATCAGTGTTGCAGAATCAGCGTCAAAGACGATCCTGGATCAACATCGTGTATAAATGAGTATAATGTGTATAAACGGTCGGGATAGTCAGGATGGTCGGGACGAGGGTCTATTCACCCCGCTTCGCGTGGGGTGGCCGCCCACACCGCAGGTTTATTTCGGTCCGTGAGAGGGGCTAAGGGTGGTGTGGAATATGAGGAGCAGAGCAGCACAGGAGAATTGACATACATAACTGCTGGGTTCGTGAATATTTTCACTTTCCCCCCCAGTGGGGGCTGCCCAAGCTATGGAATTTTCACTTTTCCGCCCCGTGGGGGCTCCCCAAGCTAGGGAATTTTCACTTTTCCCCCCCGTGGGGGCTCCCCAAGCTAGGGAATTTTCACTTTTCCCTCCCCGTAGGGGCTCCCCAAGCTAGGGAATTTTCACTTTTCCCCCCCGTGGGGGCTTCCCAAGCTAGGGAATTTTCACTTTTCGCCGCCGTGACAGCTTCCCAAGCTATGGAATTTTCACTTTTCCCTCCCTTGGAGGCTCTCCAAGCTGCGGAATTTCAAATAGCTAGACAACGACGCCTAGATAGTCCCCCAAATCCCGTGTTCTTTGAATGTGTTTCCATGTTTTTGCAATGGTTTCCTTCAAAGCACGGTACTTTACACTTTTGTCGCCATAAAACCGGTCGAAAACATCATGTTCGACAATGCTTCCAATTCCCTTATCTCCCCAACCGTTGAAAATACCGCTATTTACAGTGTTTTCTTCAATTTTTCCATGTTCCAATGCCGGTAGCCAACTCCAACATATATATAAGAAATCCTTCCAAAACATTGTTTTTGACAGTGTTTTTCCAATGTTTCCAGTCAAACAGACGGTAATTTACACGTTTTTTGCCATAAAGGCAGTAAATCCTTCCAAAACATTGCTTTTGACAATGTTTTTGTAATGTTTCCAGTCAAGCATACGGTAATTTACACGTTTTTTGCTATAACGTCAGTCCAAAACACTTGTTTTTGCAGTGTTTTCAATGCTCTGGCATCCAAAAACCCTGCAAAATCTTGCTATGTACAATGTTTTTTTCATTTTTGGCCGTTTTTCCATTGCCGGAAAGCTACCAAAATGACCCAAAATTCCATTTCAATACCCTCTTGCGCTCAGACACCCAAAAATCCTCGAAAAATGTCGAAAACACCACCGTATTCTGGTCTCGGTGCGAAACCGTTTTTGGCCTCCCCCCCCCCAGCTAAAGCTGATATAGCGACTGCTATATTAACAAATGTCATTGAGCATTTAGTGTTGCTGTTTTGCCCCCCAATAAGCACGCCTTCACCGCCAAAGCGGTGTGGGCGGATTTAGGGTTTCTTTTAGTTTTTCTAATGTTTCTTTAGGATCTCTTTAGGATCTCTTTAGGGTTTCTTCAGGCTTTCTTCAGGCTTTCTTTAGGGTTTCCTTACGGTTCTGTCGGGATGGTCGGGATGCATGGCTGGATGGTCGGGATGGTCGGGACGTTCGGGGTAGCCCGCAACTAGTTGCCATCTATACCGTCCCGATCCAACCAATGTAGATTCCGATCCAATGACCCTGATCCAACCAACACCCCATGTTGGGCTGTGTCAGCTTCATCTTGGCCCATGTTTGGCCGATGGGTTAACTAGGCGTAGTATGTTGGATCATTTTGGACTACGTTAGGACCATATTGGGGTCTTTTTGACCCATTTCAGGCTATGTTCGGTTTGGTTCATGCAAGCGTTTGCAAAAAAACACGGTAAATATCAGAGAACAACGGCATCTTTTGGCTGTGTTGCTGATGTTTTCGATGCTATTTTTTAAATATTGTTTCCCTTCTTTTGTTGAGCAATATTCGAGCTATGTTGGGTTGCGTTCGCGTCCTCTTGAGCCCATGCTGGGCCGATGTAGAGCCACCTTGGTTGAGGTTGCTTTTTGGAAACATGTCGGATTAATATGGAGCCATGGACCATGGACCATGTTGGCTTGAAATTGGGACCATGTTGGAGCATGTTGTTGGCTTTCTCTTGGGCCAACATGGGACCATGTTGGAGCCATGGTGGGTTTATATTCACCCCGCTTCGCGTGGGGTGGCCGACCACACCGCAGGTTTATTTCGGTCCGTGAGAGGTGCTAAGGGTGGTTTTCCCCCGTGGGGGCTCCCCAAGCTAAGAATTTTCACTTCCCCCCCCCGTGGGGGCTCCCCAAGCTAGGGAATTTTCACTTTTCCCCCCCCGTAGGGGCTCCCCAAGCTAGAGAATTTTCACTTTTCCCCCCGGCTCCCCAAGCTAGGGAATTTTCACTTTTCCCCCTCCGTAGGGGCTCCCCAAGCTAGGGAATTTTCACTTTTCCCCCCCGTGGGGCTCCCCAAGCTAGGGAATTTTCACTTTTCCCCCCCGTGGGGGCTTCCCAAGCTAGGGAATTTTCACTTTTCCCCGCCGTGACAGCTTCCCAAGCTATGGAATTTTCACTTTTCCCTCCCTTGGAGGCTCTCCAAGCTGCGGAATTTCAAATAGCTAGACAACGACGCCTAGATAGTCCCCCAAATCCCGTGTTCTTTGAATGTGTTTCCATGTTTTTGCAATGGTTTCCTTCAAAGCACGGTACTTTACACTTTTGTCGCCATAAAACCGGTCGAAAACATCATGTTCGACAATGCTTCCAATTCCCTTATCTCCCCAACCGTTGAAAATACCGCTATTTACAGTGTTTTCTTCAATTTTTCCATGTGCCAATGCCGGTAGCCAACTCCAACATATATATAAGAAATCCTTCCAAAACATTGTTTTTGACAGTGTTTTTCCAATGTTTCCAGTCAAACAGACGGTAATTTACACGTTTTTTGCCATAAAGGCAGTAAATCCTTCCAAAACATTGCTTTTGACAGTGTTTTTGTAATGTTTCCAGTCAAGCATACGGTAATTTACACGTTTTTTGCTATAACGTCAGTCCAAAACACTTGTTTTTGCAGTGTTTTCAATGCTCTGGCATCCAAAAACCCTGCAAAATCTTGCTATGTACAATGTTTTTTTTCATTTTTGGCCGTTTTTCCATTGCCGGAAAGCTACCAAAATGACCCAAAATTCCATTTCAATACCCTCTTGCGCTCAGACACCCAAAAATCCTCGAAAAATGTCGAAAACACCACCGTATTCTGGTCTCGGTGCGAAACCGTTTTTGGCCCCCCCCCCCCAGCTAAAGCTGATATAGCGACTGCTATATTAACAAATGTCATTGAGCATTTAGTGTTGCTGTTGCCCCCCAATAAGCACGCCTTCACCGCCAAAGCGGTGTGGGCGGATTTTCCATATTGGGTGCAAGGAGTAATGTAGCTTTGCTCGAGGATGTAGGAAGGGGTGGGCCATGGAGCACATGCAACCTCCAGTTCGATTCGTGTTGAAATTCGCAAACTTGTTTGTGGATCCCGAGAAGTTCGTTTTAGAGAGCCAAAAAATATGGTGTTGCAATGCTACGGAGTTGACGTAGCATGGATGTAACATTCTTAGGATTGACAGATCTATTCGGTCTCCCCAGTGTCAAAGGCCCACCAAAGCCCAGGGACTGGGTGTAGCATGGACAAGTCTCAGTAAGCTGTGCAATCTTGTTAATGGCGTCACACTGGCTTCACAACAATGCCTGGACTGTGTTGGTGGTGCCTTTTGGATCTGGATACCTTCTGGTGTGTGGATGATGTCTTTGCATGCTCTCCACGGTGTCACAATGTGCGCTGCGGGTGTTTTGGGCTGCGTCTAGATGTTGCCTTGGAGCATCATCCAGGTGATGTCTGGGCGGTGGGTGTAGTGTCTTCATGGTGTTTTGATGGTGTCTCCCTTATGTCTCGGCACTGCGTTTGCGGCCTGTTGCCGGGTTCATGGTGTTGTGGGTTGTTGATGTGTTGTGTCTTGGTTAGTGTCTCGCACGCTTTAGGATGGCGTCGCTTCGGCATGTCTTGGTGGTGTGTCAGTGGCGATTTGGTGGCGTCTTGGTGGAGTGTCGGTGATGTCTTGGTGTAACCCCCGCTGTGTATCAGTGTTTATTGCGCGGGTGCGTCTTGGTGGCGTTTGGGTCGGCATGTATATGCGCCATGTTGTGTTTGCGAGGTATTTTATTGGTGTTGCAGTCGCATTCATGCGATACTTTGGGTGGTGTATGGGTGGTCTCTTGTTTGTGGGTGTCTTGCTGGTCTTGGCATGGCGTTTTGGTTGTGTGTCGGCATGAGAGCTCTCATATGGTGTCTTGCATCTGCACGCGCGGACACAATACACAACATCAAACATTCCTACACGCTTGTGGCCCGTGACATCTCCAGCGTTTTCCTGTCCTTACTGGCGGAGCCTATGGAAAGGGCAGAGTGCGTATGAGTGCGTCGCGTGTGAGCCAGGAACCAAAAAAAACCATATCATTGAAGGTGCCGAAATTGAAAAGCACAGAACATAAACAAATGCACACCTCATTCGAAACAAACATGGAAAACGGCCAGACAACTTTGCATTTTCTGGGGGGGACTGCAATTTTCGCAGCATCCTCTTGGCAGCCGGCGTGCCAAAGTGCCAGCTACACCTATAGGCCTATAGGGATAAATAGGGCATGCTCCATCTCTTTTTGACTTGTTCTTGTTGTCTTGGCAAGTCTCACTGGCTTCACTATGATGTTTGGGCAATTATTGCCATCTGTTGTTGGTGTTTTTTGGATCTGGATTCCTTTTCCAGTTTGAGAAATTCTTCATGTTGGTTTTGGGATTTTCTGACTATATATATATATATATTCGTGTATCTTATGATATCTTATGTATCTACACAATTTGACGAGGCAGCGGTGGTAGTTTGCTACATAGATGTTTCTTTATATTTGAACGCTTTCCGTGGTTTGCCGGGCTGGTTCGCAGAGGTTCCGTCAATAAATACCTCTGGATCTGCAAGCCTGCCCCTGACGGTGATGAGGAGGCCCAGCAGAGTCACACGAAGTCAAAATGACACCCTCCTTAAAAATGGGGTGGCCTATGGGTGGCTTGCTATAATTTTTGCCGAATTTATGGCACTTATAATGACACACACACACACTCAGATACATAGACGCACACACTTGCTCAGAAATATCTTATCGAATTACTGATGTGGAATGCATCGTACGTGCAAAAACACTTCAGTTAAACCTGACAGGAGGAATGAGATGACCCGGCGTGAGAAATTGTGTGAAGTACTCTTTCTTCGTCCTTGCTAGAAGAATCAACTGGTTCTGATGCAGCTCAGCAAATTGTAAATTGAATCGACTGGCCGGTTCTGGGCTTAGCCGGATGCCATGCACAAGGAATAGAACATTGCAAAACGGAATGGAAAAAGCAGGTACGCAGATTGGCGTCCCAATCTGTATCACCAGATCAAATGGCGGTCTTCGTTGGTAGCGGTCCCAAATGATCAGCCGCTACCCCCTGCAAAAATTGAGTGT